ATAAGATTGTGATGTCCCGTAGAGTGCCGATCCTATTTTGTTAAATTGAGGTGTGCATGTTGCCGTATTCTGCTTGTGTTATTTATACTGCAGTTGCTTTGTATTGTTGTATTTGTGCGTATATGAGCTATTATATTGTATATGTTCACAAGTAGTTTGTGGTGATGTGTATGATACTTGTGAATGTGCACTGTGTATGGGGGCTGCTTATGTCACATTGTGTTTAGTAGTGTGTGTATGTGAAAGGCTATTTGGGGTATTGCATGTGAGAGGCTGCATGTGGAGTTGTGTGCATCTATGTTGATTGTTAGTGGTGTTGAGTTTGTGGGTGTGCTGTTCGTATTATTTGTATTTGAGGGGAGGGTTATTCTGCATTTCTGTGTATATCTAAAAGTGTGTGTGGCTCCCCTAGGTTTCAGTGGGGACCAGGCTGGCCAGGTACAGGTCAAAGACAGGAGCTGCAACAGCAGCTGCGGGCTGCTCTACTACAGTATGGATTCCCATTCACAAGTGCTGGGAGTAAGTGATTTGAGATCACTTCCTCTACGTGCTGCAATAGATCAATTGAGGATTGTCCTTCACCACCTTTTTGTATTAGCAGATATCTGAAGTTTCACTGGGACTCCTGATAGGCCAGAGCCTGCTTGGCTCTAGCAGCCTTGAGTACCATAGGTTGCCTACCCCTGTCCTAGACGATGAAACTGATTTATATTTCCTGGCCATACATGGCAGCATCACATGAGGGTAAGCTCCTTCTCTCAGCTATCAGGACAGGAATAATTAAACAATTAAGATTACAGGTAAGATTCATCTATAGGAAAAGGTTACTGATTGCACAAGGTTTGAATTCCTGTTGGTAATTATAAGGCATTTGATTTTATTAAGCTAGTTACTTGCTATTGATTGCTGGTTAATTAGCTATTGTTTGCAAATAAGCAGAGGCCTACCCAGGTGTTAAACATTCCTAGTGGGTGGTGATTTTAGGAGTTATATAAGACTTGTTGTCATTAGCTTGTCTAATATAGCTTGGTGCTACTTCTAAGTGTGTAGTTGGAGATATTCTGGAGGTAATCTGAGGTATTCAGGAGGATAAATATAAAGTTAAGATTTGTTAGATTTAAATTATTCTCCTAATTGGAATGGCAGACTTAGTTCAGTGTAACAATTGCTATGCATTTGTTTCACGTTCCACTTTTTGGAGGTTTGGTTGTTGTCTAATCTGTAGACAGTTCTCTATCTTGCGGCAGGAGATTGTATTTTTGAAGTCTGAGATTTGTAAATTATCTGGTAAACAAACTCAGACTGGAACTGCTGCAAAGGCACTGCCGCAGAGACATAATAGGAATGGCAGATGGATTACTGTAGGATCTGGTAGACTTAGAGTTGTGGATAAAAGGCATTTTGCACAGTCTGTTGCTCTTCATAATTCATTTTCTGCACTTTCAGAGTGTAATGGTGTTGTGGAGAGAGGCACTAAGACTAGTGGTATTGTGGAGAGAGATGGCATCCATGGATAACTTGATTTTCAAAGTAAAATAAGAAGCCATTTTTAGTATTACAATTTTAGGCTGGTAATAAAATTTAAACATGGTGTTTACTTATCTATCGAATCTCTGCCCTTTAAAACTACCGTACACATATTCCTGGCAGAGTGGTTTATGTTGTGTGTTTGACAGTTTTATGTTTTGTACAAATAGATTAAGAAAATGCAATTGTGATTATAAAATTCTGCAAAATGCTCAAAATAATGGAAAAATAAAGATAATTTAAAAAGGGTATTATGTTGTTCCATTTTACGCCTTCTACCTATACTTGAGTGTCCTTCCACCTCTCCTCCAGTCTAAAAGAAGACAGGCTAACTGCATCCACTCTTCCTTTCTCTGTACAGCCATACTGTCTGATCTCATCTTCTCTCATGGTTGCTTGCCTTTCCACATTTTCTATAAATAAACCCAGCTAAAAATGAAGTGCATCAAGGTGGTTCCAGCTTCACCAAAAAAGTCTCCTACATTTATGTGTATATTCTTATGGAGCAGAAGAGATTGGAAGCTTTAGTTTAGTTAAATATGGGGGCTTCTTCCTAGGAAGGCTTGAAGCTTTACAGACTAGATATCCATAATGAATATCCCTACCTTTCACAAATATGCACTTGCAATAAATAAATACATACATATACACAGAAAATTGGATTGCGGATAACAACCATATCCTAATCACTGACAAAAACGGTCACAATGATCTTTAAAATGGTGCCTAAATTACATAAATAAAAAATTCAGAGCTACGCATCTCTACAAAATGAAATAATACACTGACCGAAGCTCACTCTTTCAAATATCTAGGTTTGTTGCTAGACCCCAATCTATTTTCTGGTCTCCACGTTGAAAAACACTCATCAAACTTGCTGCCCCGTACAGAAACTAATCCTGCCTAAGCCCCCTCGGTAAGGAAGTAGGCTGTGCAACAACGGTGATGGCAGACATAGAATATGGTGATGTAGTTTGTGCACCTGCGCCGCAAAGCCATCTTCATAAACTTACTACATTGTAGAATTAGTTCTCTTGCTTTGTGCTACAATGTAATTACATGACCCACCATTGTGACATGTTGAAAGAGCTAAACTGGCTGTCACTGGAGTCTAGATGCATTCTCAAGCTTTCCAGTCTTGTGTTTAAGAGTTTCTGGGAAGCTCCCACCCTTAATTGAATGCTCTCCCCAGCCATTACCATCTCCTATAATCTCAGATCCAGTACAAGCACTTTATTTAGTCTACTGCATTACAAAAAGAAAGTAGCTCGATCTTTATTTTCCTACAGCACTACAAGTATGCAACAACCTCACAAACCCAATAAAATCTTCCTTCACAAGAAAAGAAAAACAAACAAACCAACATGTTACTTGAAATTTTTTTTACTTACCGTATATACTCGAGTATAAGCCGACCCGAATATAAGCCGAGGCCCCTAATTTTACCCCAAAAAACTGGGAAAACTTATTGACTCGAGTATAAGACTAGGGTGGGAAATGCAGCAGCTACTGGTAAATTTCTAAATAAAATTAGATCCTAAAAAAATTATATTAATTGAATATTTATTTACAGTGTGTGTATATGATAAATGTAGTGTGTGTATGAGTGCGCAGTGTGTGTATGAATGCGCAGTGTGTGTGAGTGATGCAGAGCCTTGGTGGGGGGTGGGCATTTTTATAAAAAAAAAAAAATTATTTATTTTAATTTTTTTGGTTATATTATTTTTTATTATTATTATTAATTAATATTATTTTAATTTTTTGTTATATTATTTTTAATATTTTATTATATTTATTTTGTTGTCCCCCCTCCCTGCTTGATACATGGCAGGGAGGGGGGCTCTCCTTCCCTGGTGGTCCAGTGGCATTGGCAGTTCAGTGGGGGGAGGAGGGGAGCTGGCAGAGCTGTTACTTACCTCTCCTGCAGCTCCTGTCAGCTCTCTCCTCCTCCGCGCCGGTCCGTGCAGCTCCTCTGTCAGCTCACACTGTAAGTCTCGCGAGAGCCGCACTATGACCCCGCGGCTCTCGCGAGACTTACACTGCGAGCTGACCAAGGTGCTGCACGGACCGGCGCGGAGGAGGAGAGAGCTGACAGGAGCGGTAAGGAACAGCTCTGCCAGCCCCCAGTCTGTATTATGGCAATGTAAATTAATGTAAGTTGCCATAATACAGACTGACTCGAGTATAAGCCGAGTTGGGGTTTTTCAGCACAAAAAATGTGCTGAAAAACTCGGCTTATACTTGAGTATATACGGTATCTACAAAAACTAATGAAAAAAAACTGCTAAATAGATTCAAAATTGTGTCCTGAGTTTAAAAACACCCAGTGTTTACATGCTTTATTGCTTTTTTTGTGTGCAAGTTATAGGCCTATAAATACAAGTATGAAATTGCTGATAGAATATGAATATATATATATTCTATCTCTATCTTAAAAATGCAAAAAAAAAAAATAAAAACACACCTTTGGCCAGTGTTTGTGACCAAGTGGCTACTACAAAAGGCTGAGCATACCCCATTGCAATACCTTGTCTTCTTTTGCAAATGGTATGCCATCATGGGGGTAATACTCATTCCTGGGCTACCATACACTCTCAAAGGCAACATAACCAATCTGCCAAAAAATGAAAAATCAAGCCTTATATTTGACCCTGTAACTTTCACAAACACTATAAAACCTCTACATGTGGGGTACTGTTATACTCAAGGGAACTTCACTGAACACAAATATTAGTGTTTTAGAACAGTAAAACATATCACAGCAATATCATCATAAGTGAAAGTGCCGTTTGTGTGTGAAAAATGCAAAAAAACATAACTTTCACTGACAATATCATCACTGTGATATGTTTTACTGTTTTGAAACACTAATATTTGTGTTCAGCGAATTCTCCCGAGTAAAACAGTACCCCCATGTACAGGTTTTAGGGTGTCATAGAAAATTACAGGGTTAAACACAGTGCTAGCAAATGAAATTCTATGGACTTTTGGCCTGGGTTGTCAGGCATGTCTCTCAAATTGCAATCAATAAAATTACTTAATTAGGTAAAAATTATTACATAAATATGCACGTAGCATTTTAATATATACATATTTATATATTTGAAGTCTAAGTGTATATTTATGAAATTATTTATGTAATTATGTGTATGGACATATATATATTTCGCATTATTTTTATTTATACATATATATCTCGTTACATTCTAAGTATTGATATAAATATATATTAATATCAAAATACTATTAGAATAAAATTACATATAATTTTTTTAAAATTACAAATGTTTACATTTTTATTAGCATTTTATTTTAATAATATATACACACACTATATATAGTTATATATTGTGTATATATACACACACGTGTGTAATTTAAATATAAGTGTATTTTTATAGTAGTATATGTAAATATAAAAATACAAGATATATACACACATTAAAGATATAATACATGCAAGAATATATACACACACATATATTAAAAAATATTTTAAACACGGATTCCTTTTTTTTTTTAAACTTTATTTTAGGATTTTTCACTTGCAGGGAGACTGCCTGTCAGCACAGACTGTCCCCCTGCAGGCATATACACAGGCACCTTTTGCGGCCATGTGATCGAGCGATCACGTGGCCATGGGGTCCTGATCTGCCGCGGGGAGACTGCTTGGGCAGACAGGCAGTCCCCCCCAGACCGGGTGAAACGCCGATCAGGTAAGTACCCCAAGACCGTTATGACAGTTCAAGACAGTCATCGGTCCTCAAGGGGATGTTTCCGATGATTGTCCTGAACAGTTATCGGTCCTCAAGGGGTTAAATATTACTTTGTATTTTTTAATATTATGCTGCACCCTATTGTAACAATGCACTGTTTGTGGGCCCAGATCATACTTAAAAATGTGAGAAATCTCAATGCATCCTCCCTGGTAAAATATTTTTAAAATATATATTACAATATATTTACTCTGTAAATTGAATTTAAAAAGAAAGCAATAATTATGTGTATACAGATGGAATCGTGGACTCAGCCAACCAAATGTTTTGTGGAGGACAGCGCTATAAATGTTCCACTTTCAGGTTTTAATGAGTAGCCAAGTCTAGAAAGATATCAAAGCACTACCTCCACCACTTTTTTTTTTTTCCTCCTTTTCCCATGAGTGTTTCCACTGACTCTAGTTTTCCAGTTTAGCCCCACAGGTACCAACAATGCAGGAGGTGCAAGCTTAAACATGTCAGAGGTAAAATTAACAAATCTTGCAAGCAGCCAACGCTTACAGGTTTTTCACTCTCTCCCAATCCCCCTCTGGGGATTGCTAAAAGGTTAAGTTAATCAGTATTATGCAGATTCTTGGTTGATTGGGAGTATTTAACTGTATGGCAGCGTAGGAGATACACATGTAGTCCTTCTCCTTTAATGGACCTGCAATAGTGACTCAAATTTATGTGCTGGTTGACATTTCCGAGTTGACCTGGGGATCTGACTCCTGGGATTTATTGAGCTCTGCTTTACGTCACTGTAAAAAAAAAAAAAAAAAATCCAAACAAGTAATAGATTTAAAAATGTTTTTTTTTGTTTTTTTTAAACAGATTTGGAGGATGGAAGATTATGTCCTGACTTCATGAACAGGAACTTTTATCCATTGCTAAATGATAACAGTAATAATTGAATTAAATATGGATAAAACAAAAAAATAAAAGCACTAGAGTTAAATTTTGATATAAATAGAAATTCAATGCAAATGAAAAAGACATGACACTATACCAAACAAATTCTGCATTCTAACATCAATCGTCTGCTGAAAGAGTTAAAAGCCAATATTCTTCCCATTACAATAAGAAAAAATAAAAAAAAGTCATGAAGGGTATATAGAACAAGAAAAAATACACTTGTATTAGCTCCTATGCTAACTAGCTTTAATTGTAGTTTTGTAACTACTTTAAAACATGTAAGCCACACAGTAGCTACGTAAACGTACTCCAGTAACAAGTAGGTCTCCGTAGACAAAAGTCAATTTCTATTCTAAGAAACCTTTTTAAAAGGACAAGGTCAATATTTGACTGCATAAAAAACATGAATACATGCCAACGTTCCATCCAGTTACAACTGGTATTGTATTTTGACATCTAGGAGTAAGTATGTACCAAGACACTAATTTAATAAGGACACTATAGTCACCAAAACAACTTTATCTTAACTACATATAGAATGTAAGTTCGATTGAGCAGGGTCCTCTTCAACCTATTGTTCCTGTAAGTTTATTTGTAATTGTCCTATTTATAGTTAAATCCCCTCTCAGAATATTGTAAAGCGCTACGGAATCTGTTGGCGCTATATAAATGGTGGTAATAATAATAATAATAATAAAGTTTTGGTGTATAGATCATGCCCCTGCAGTCTCACTGCTCAATTATCTGCTATTTAGGCATTTACTTTTGTTTATGCAGCCCTAGCCACAGCATGTGTCTTAATCAGTCTTCCTAAAAACTTTCCATAAAGGGAGATCTAATGTTTAAACCTCCTTTATTGCACATTTTGTTTAAATTTAGAATCTCTCTCCTGCTCTGTTAATAGCCTCTGGACCATTCAGGAGCCTCCTGTGTGTGATTAAAGTCCAATTTACAGAGATGGAGATAAATACCTCAAGTAAGCCAACGTTTGATTAACCCCTTAAAGGGAAACTCCAGTGCCAGGAAAACAATCCGTTTTCCTGGCAGTGCAGGTCCCCTCTCCCTCCCACCCCCCAATCCTCGGTTGCTGAAGGGGTGAAAACCCCTTCAGTGACTTACCAGAGGCAGCAACATGTCCCACGTCGCTGCTTCTCCCTTCGCCGCCGCTCCTCCTCCTCTGCATTACGTCGGCCGGTGGGCGAGACTGATCCCACCCACCGGCAAGACCTAATGCGCATGCGCGGCAATGGCGCACATGCGCATTAGAGCTCCCCATAGGAAAGCATTGCTATGTAGGAGGAAGTGCCCTCTAGTGGCTATCTAGTAGACAGCCACTAGAGGTGGAATTAACCCTGCAAGGTAATTATTGCAGTTTATAAAAAAAAATAAAAAAAATGCAATAATTACACTTGCAGGGTTAAGAGTAGTGGGAGTTGGCACCCAGACCACTCCAATGGGCAGAAGTGGTCTGGGTGCCTGGACTGTCCCTTTAAGGACACGACATGTGTGACATTTCAGGATTCCCTTTTATTCCAGAAGTTTGGTCCTTAAGGGGTTAAAAAGGAAACCTTCCCTCCTCCGCCCCCATTTAGGCTGTGTGAGTCACTGCCAGGGGAGGTGTGGCTAGGGCTTCATGAATAGAGACATAAATGGCAGATGATTGAGCAGAGAGACCGGAGATGCATGATCTATACTAGAGATAGGCAACTTTCGGCACTCCAGACGTTGTGGAGTACATATCCCATTATGCTCTTACCAGAATAATAGCAAAGCATCAAGGGAGATGTAGTCCACAATATCTGGAGTGCCAAAAGGTTGCCTAAGCCTGATCTATGCACTAAAATGGTTTAAATAAAATAAAGTTGTTTTGAGGCCTATAGTATCACTTTAATTTAAAAAAAATGCCAAGCTGCACAGTAGATAAAAGGACATTTGCCAGTTTGTGAAATAAAATTACTTCTACAGAACAATTTTCAAAAATGCAAATGTTCAAAGTCCTAACATTTAAATTAGACAGAAATTGAGGTTTTATGTCAGTAAGCTTTTAAAAAAAATTATTAAAAAAATGAAATATGGCTGTTTTTAACATAGGTTTGTGGGGCGGTGGAGTATAAACAATAAAATATGTCCTACAGAACCTAGACATAATAAAATATGTCCTACAGAAGTCCTAACATTTAAAAAGGAAACGGAATATGATTGTTTATAACAGGTTTGGATGGGGAAGGAAGCGAAAACAAACCATACAAAACAAAAATATGTACATATATTCACAATTTAAAAGAAAAACTATACATCACAATACAAAAATCTATTAAATGCATATTAACAACCAGTAGAGCACAAGTTCTTCTTAAATAAGAGTATGTTAGCAGTCTAATTTAAAGAATGTATATTTTGCATGAAAGGCAGCAGGGCAAAACTAATAAGTAATCAGGAAATATTCTTGGGGGGTGGAGGGGCAGGAGAGAGAGTGCGAGAAAGAGAAAAACACTGCCTGGCTTAGATGTCCAACAGCAGTCATACAAATGGTTGACTGCAACTAAAAGAGATAGAAGGCTTACACAGTTGGACACCAAAGCACCAGAATGTAAAAAGGTACCAGTGATAATCCTTTTCAATTTCTATATTATCCTATGAACCATATACTATAGAACTTAAGAAAAGTCCACAGTCTAGCATTACCTAGACAACATTTTGCTCAGAGATGATGTTTTTTCAAGACACTACAGTAGGAAGTGGACATGCAGACACATTACATATTGATGATAAAAAAAAAAGTGGACATAAAGTTTTTTTTATATATATCCCTACATGAAAAAAAACAAAAAAAAACACAACAACTTTGTATTGCTGCAAGACCGATAATGTCATTTTGTAGATAAGCAGTTGCAAATTGCTATACAAGCAATGGCCGGAATTCAGGATAAAAAAAAATAAAAAAAATTATAGATTACGAACTGCTCTGCTGGATCCACGGAATCTTCATTCATATTTCAAAAATACACGCTTTTGCAGTCCTCTTGACATTTCCTCTTGGCATAAAGCTGTGGGAAACTCTTGGATTGGAAGTGAAAGTTGTTCTGTGCAGAGGATTGTGGTGCCTCTGGAAGAGTGGATTCACGTTCCTCAGTAATCCTAAAAACAAACATGAACAAGTTCTATACTGAAACGTATGTTGCAGATTTGATAAAGAGAAGCGGAAAGCGGGTGTTAAAAATCTTGAGTACGGTATAAGGAAGTACTCTCTAGTGATGCAAATTTTTTTTTTTTTTTTTCAAATTAAGCGAATTACAGAAGACTTAAGCATGTGGATGTCAAGTTAACCTTTAAGTAAATACATATTCAATATAGACAAATTTGCCAGCAAGAAGGTATTTTCCTCTTCTAGTTTCCAGATGTATGCATAGTAAAATTATAACATTTCTACTCTCAAATAAAATAAAAATAATATTCTTTGGCATAGAAATTGCAATTTACATTTTAATCATTTAGCTATATTTTGGTATAGTAATCAATATCATGGAGGTCATGCTTTCCTAGAAGTTTCTATATGGTTATTTTGGACAGTTTTTCTATTCAAATGTATTGACATATCAGATGCTTATATCTGCAATTCTCAAAAGTGTGAGTTTGTTTATTTTATAACATTTTTGCTGTGAAGAAGAGGCATTGCATCTCTGCAGACAAAGTTCATAAAAATATCTTAACCCCTTAAGGACAGAGGTAATTATCAATGTTCTGAACCAAAAGAAAACCTAGAATTCTTGCTACTTTTCTACTTTAAGGGTTTCTCTTTAAGGATCTCTACATTATACATTGATTCTAAAAATGTCAGAGCGTGCTTTCTTTCAATGTCCTATATTTATACCTACCTTTTTGGTAGTTATTGCTAACTTTATCATACCCCTTACCCGAGTGGTTTCCAAACCAGTCCAATGGCATGCCTACCAATCCAGGATTTAGCGATTACCGAGTTGTGTCTAAAGTGTTTTGTTTGACACAACTGGGTAATCCTTAAATCCTGGACTGGTAGGCATGCCTTGGGGACTGGTTTGGAAACCACGGTCTTACCCTAAACCTAACAAACGAACCCTACTACTACCCTTAACCATAAGGAAACCATCTGCAAATTTCAGCACAGATAACAGATGTGTTTCCTAGTTAAAACAGTACAGACTTATGTTGCGGCCATCTACTGGCTTTTTTCAGCATTACAGGAACATTTTCTTGTAATGCATTGCAAAACATGCTTTTCCGGCCAATTACACTGTGATTGGTGCTGGGCAGCTGGCAAGTCCCAGCACCATCTCAAAAAGTGGTTTCTTTTCAGTAGTCTGCAGCCTTAGAATCACCACAGCTGAGAACAATTGCTCAGCCTTGGTGTTCTCAATGACTTTAAGGTGCTGCATACAGCTCATCGCTCAGTCTGTAGCTGTGAAGAAAATAGCCCCAGCTGACCGAGTCCCATGTATTCATTGATACCCCAGATCTCCCTGGTTTGAGCAGTGATTTAACCCACATTGTGGTTTGCTACAAAGCCCAAACACCTTTCCTTATGAACATGTCAAATAATTGCCATATAGTTTAGCACTTACCTGGCTCTGTTTGGCTCCCACAATTTTACTAGTCAGCAGGGATAGGCTAAAACTGGATTTCATACTAAAGCATAACCATACCAGCTGTGAAAAGTATTCACTGGCTGAGAATGTCAGCTGACAAGTACATATGCTAATGTATGGAAGTATGAATGTCTGGTTTAGCAGATCACTATAATGCGCTGTAGTGATTATGGTGATTAGAATACCCATTTAATTGAACAAACTTCAACCCATATTTTCAGACTAGAGATTCGCTTAAAAATTTTGCAACACTATCTACGGTTATCAGAAAGTCTAGATGAAAGTATACAAGATTAAGAATAAAATGGACAGATACTTACAGATCTTGGCTTTTTGTTCAATTTGAGGTCAATCCTAGAATAAGAAACGGGGAAATAAAAAAATGTTTGTATTCACATTTTGTAAAAGATCAAAAGCTTGTATATAAAACAGTTAGGTCTGCTATAGCATGCAATTTTGAGTAATATGTATATTAATTTATAGACTTTTTATACATATATTTTTTTAACTACTTCCCCATTTACAAAATATAAATATTTAACTAAAAAAGTTTGACATTCTGCAGTTTCATACTCAGATTAATCAAGACTTTTGTCTTCACAAATAAGCTGTGTAGCAAAATCTATTTGTTACACAGAGCTTCCATAGATTTATATTTACTAGAGTTAACAGCTCTATAGCAGGCTCTTACAAAATATGTCATACTAGAAGTACTTGGGGCAAGATGCATGCGGTCCAAATAGACATTTTTTTCATTACATAGGACACTGATAATGTAATGAAACAAATACCACAGGCATAAGTCTTACAGAACAATGCACAGCTACAAAAATCACAAACATGAGAAGCATAACAGAATAAATGAGTAGTAGCACAATTTTAGAGGAGTCATTTTAGTGGGACCAACACTACTGCCAGAAGATTGAAAGATTAAATATTCTTACATAATGAGCAACCAAGTAGATTTATCAATTCTAGCTCTTCTTATATAAACCAGTATGACCTTCAGTATTTAAAAGGTAAAAATCAATGACAGATGCAGAGACTGAAATCATGCATTATTACTTTTAAAACAAAACACATAGGCAGTAGTACAGACAGAAGATGCACACTTACTCGAAGTCATAATCATACATGCCAGATGGACTGGGGGGAAGCATTAGAAAAAAAATAAGAAAAATAAAAATAAAAGAAAGCAATAGGAATTAATACACCAATTAGTTTAACTGGACATATATGTTATGCTAATCTGAAAGAGAAAGGGAAGAAAGAAAAATAAAATTACAAACAAAAAAATAAAAACCAAGACACACAAGTAAATCTGTCTGGCGCTTTGGATTAGAGGAAAGCCAAATAAAGTAGTTATAAAACCAAAACAAAAATTAAGATAAAAAAGAAAATTAAAAAAAAATTCAAATCCACCACAAACAAAAATTGCTGCCACTGCAATTGTGCTTAGGAATATATATTTTTTATTTTTTAAGATTCTAGCCGTTTAGAAACCTCAGTTAACTAGTGCATGGCAATCCATCTTTAATAACCTATTTGAGTATGACATGCAAAAAAATAATGAAAATGAAAAAAAGTGGGGGGATATTAAAGATTTATTTTCTTGTTGAATGCTTTGGGTTTGTTTGTTTTTTCTTCTCCTTGCTCCTCAGATACTTTTTCAACACAATTTAAAAACACAAATAATTGTTAAATATGGAAAAAAAAAAAAAAGCTAAGAAATTTTTTATGAGATATTCATGCATTTTGTGAAGTTTAAATGTGTATATAGATCGTAATTTTAAGTGTGGCAGTCATTTCCGTATCCATCTGCAACTCATGCTAACTGTTCTCTACAAAAACAAGGAAAGTATGTGTTAAAGCAACACTGTCAAATTGCAGGGCTTTTTTTGTGTTAAATTCAGTTTTCATTTTATACATAAGAAAAAGTAGCAACTAATTAGTATTTTTTAGTGCGTGATTTAAAAAGAAAAAATTTTTTTGCAATGGTCGGAGCTTAAGCAAAGTAATTTCACTCACAATCCATTAAGCTTTACAGAAGGGAATACTGTAGAAAATTGTGTGAAAAAAAAAAAAAAAAAGCAGACACCCAGATACTGAAATCCAGCAAGCAATAGCCAATATAAAATACAATGTAAGTGGTGAGTATAACCATTAAGATACAAAGGGCAAAAGGAAATGAAAACCATAAGGAAGAGGAGAAAATAAAATAAAACTAATGACAGTGCCACCTTAAGACCCTAATCAAATTTTGGTGACAGCACTTTTTTTTTTTTAAAGTAATATATAAAAAACAAAATGTATTACACACAAATGTTTTGCATGTAATAAAAAAGGCACACTACAGTTACCTATTGCCTCTGACTTGTTGCTTGACATTTGCTGATGCCAAGCATTTCCTATATCAAAGTAAGTATTCCAGGTCATCTAAATAAAAAAAAAAAAAAATGTATTCTACAAATTAACATATACTTTCTAATAATCATTTTTTGCAATAAAATGAATGTAAAGAAAATTTATATTAGCTGCTTTTCCATATTTGGTATTCCAAACATAGAATGTATTTCCTTGTCACGGTTAGCAATCAAAACAACCTGCTGCACTTAAAGAAAAAAAAACACTTTAAGCCACTCTGTGTATTTTGTGTAAGTTTCAGCTACTATAAAAACACAATTGCAGCACGTAACAGCTTAGCAGGGAATGATAGTACATAAAACCATTCCTTAGCCAACCTGTGCCGATTTTTATTCTTGCGCTTCTTGTGACTGCTATGATGGCTGCCAGAGTTGGCTGAAGAAGCTGCTTTCTGAGGCTTCACACCAGACAAAGAACCATCAAGATCCTCTACATCATCCTGACTGGGTTCATTTTCCTGATTCTGGAAGTCTGGAGAGTTGTCGCTTTCTGTTCCACTGCCAGGTTCTCCTAAAAATAGCAGCACAACAGTGTGTGAGAAGTAAAAAAATAATTAAATCTGGTAAAGTGAGAAGAGTGGATTTTTTCCCTCTGCCAGAGTACTGGCAGTACTACTGGCTGAGACTTTTTTCTCTGCTGGGAGAAGACCAGTTAAAAAAAGCTCACTGGGTCTTTGAAGTGCCAACAAAATGTAATCAATGCACATGGAGTTAGGAAGGAATGGATGATTCAGTTGTTCATATGTTGTGTTAAGGACTACATACACTGAGACAGAAGACAAACATTGCATTAGAGGATGATGCTTGGTTTGCAGGACATACCAGTGCTAACACATGAAGGATTCAAACATGTGTTGGAATTTCATTCCCAAAAAAGGTCAAAACAATCTATACAAAAGACTTAATCTGACCTATTTAGCCTTATGCACAAGTTGGAATACATTAGAATAGGATTTACATTTCAAGTATTATACTACTAGCCAGGCCTTAAAGATTACTTGCCACTGTAAGCCTGAGGTTCGGCACAAAGACAATGGATACATTTCCCCTAACCAATGGCTAGTGGAGAGTGGAAATTTTGAGCTCTTTGTTAGAATACATTGACATTAAAGAGCTTTGTGTTTATCATTTTCCTGAGTCATTAATCCTGATGGCAAATGGGAAAAAGGTTACGGTATCACCTCATTGAGCAGATTTGAAAGATTTCCATATATAAAACAATGCGGCAAATGTGAAAATGTAAGTTTCACTAAGTGTTATTCAACTATGAAATAAAGTTTTAAAAAATATAAAAATTCATTTTAAAAATTGCAAGAGATAATACTTACGTTTTTCAATCATTTGGTCTTGTACACCGGCCAATGCACTTACAGCCTAAAAAAAAAAAGGAAAAGAAAATGGCCTGTGAAAATTTATGCAAACATTTCAAAATATTTCTATTTAAATGAAAATCACTAAAATACATTGGTTATGGGCAGTATTAATGTGGACCGATCATTTCTCAATGTGCAGATGACCATGTAAACCAGGGGTAAGAAACTGTTTGGTGGCACTCTGTCAAAGTAAAAACCACTGAAGTCCCTTTGTGTGGGAATCCTATTGTTAAGTAATGTTTAAGTATGTTAAGGAATTTTTCTTGTGTTGCGTATGGGTGTGGTGGCAGCTTTGTGAGATACTGTGTGGAGTTGTACATGTGTTTGGGATGTCTGTGTTGTGCATGCTTTTTTGTTTGTGGAATGGTGTGTGTTTTTGTCAACACAGCTTGTTGTGTCATTTGTGTACAAGTGGTTTTAATTATTTGTGTGTGGTGGCTGTCTAAACATACATATATACACATACATATTTTTTTTATTGCAATACTTAAGTGTATAAAAACTGGTTATAGTTGACAGTGCCACAGATTATGTACTCACCGCTGCAGATGTGACTGAAGATTTGCTAAAAAGTCTTTCTGCTTCTTTGAACTTTCTATTTCTCCTATCATTCTTACTATTTGAATTTCTGAAACAGAAAAAAAGAGGGGCCAAAGTAAATATTTAAGAAATACCAGTTATATGCATTTGTGCAGTGACTATATAACAAAAGGGGAAGAAGAGAAAAGAATAGTCAAACTAGAGATTAATCAAAAGATATATACAAGATTGAGTACATTCCCCATCAGTGTAGACTGTCCATCTTTAAAGGAACACTATAGTTACAGTAATACAAACATGTATTCCTGTCACTGTAATAACACTATTTAGGTGACCGTCCCCCTGTAATCAATTTAAAAGTTGATTTTACTCACCTTACTTTATTCACCGGGTCTCCTCACGGCTGGCTCCGCACCACTCTGCCTCCTCGGTTGAGTTCATATATCAGCCAAGCCAATGCTTTCCCAAAGAAAAGCATTGGGAGGCTATCATGCATGCGCAGCAAAACACTGCCCCAATCAGCATCTCTTCAGAGAGATGCATTGAATCAACTCATTTCTATGAAGGGCGTACAGCGCCTCCATGCAGAGGCTGAACATCAGTGACCCAGGAAGCACCTCTATTGGCTGTCTGAGTGACTGCCAGTGAAGGTGTTTCTAGGCAGTAATGTACACACTGCCTTTTCTCTGAAAAGGACAGCTAACAATTTCTGTGTAGGAGCTTCCAGCATTTAATGGATTATTGGCGGGAGCGCAGCAGACCCTATGTACATTTGCAAACATCACTGTATTGATTGGAATGCTTGGAGGGTTCCTTTAACATTTGATTTATTTTTGTTGGAGATTTGGATCTAGTAGTATCACCAAAGCACGAGCAATGCAGCCAGAAATATATCTGAAATCCTTAAACTGCAGTAGTACAACACAGTGATACTTTATGAGAAAGAAATTTATATCCTTTACTTTCTTGGTATTTTTAAAGTACTTATGACACTCACTTCTGGTTTGTTAAGTATCGATCCCATCCTCTGATAATGTTTCCATACATCTGTGTGTCTTCCAAATAACTTCCTTCAAATGCATAGATCTGACGTTCCAAGTTCGCCAAAGTCTCCTGCAAAGACAAAACAACAATGAAGAAGAATAAAAACCTTATTCAATGCAGTCAAGATTGTCATTGTAAAAATGAAATAAGCCAAATGCTACAGTTAACTAAAATAAAAAGGAAAGCTTGTAGAAGAAGCTAAAAGAAAAAAAGTTGCTAAACCTATCATGCTACTCAAAATACAGGTAATATTGTGTACACAATGTTAGCTCTTAATCATGTAATATAAATGAAGGTCCACAATCGCAGCCATAACACAATGATTACAATCTCTCATATACGGTCAGTATTGCACGTTGGTTCACAAGAAAAATCCATTAGATGGTATGTTTGATTTACAATATGGGAGGAAAATATAAAACGACGAATTGATCAAAGATGAGTTTACTTACTTGGACCTGTACCTCACAGGGGCCGCCATCTTGTTCTGGCAGGGTCCTCTTCGGCGCTGATATCAATGCTGTACTCTCGCGCATGCACAAGATTACAGCATTAATGTCTATGGAGGATCCCACAAGATTTTTCATAGACACAGCCAATTCTCTGCAGCCATCACTGATGCAGTGATTGACACCAAGACTCTGCCTTGTGTCAAAGAAAGCCAGGTGGAGGAGAAATACAGAGACAAAGTCGTTCCTACTTCGCCTCTGTATGTCTCTTGACTGGTTTTGAATTTCAGTGAAATTCCAACACAGTCATAACGAGTATATTATTATTTCATAAAGATTTTATCTTTATGAAATATCAATTTTTCAGGTTGGGGGGGTTGTGTCATGAAATTCTATAATAAAAAATACAAAATTAAAAAATAATTTCCTAAGCATTTTGTCTTTCAAAATGGCTAAAAAGTGATAGAATACTTTTAATAAGCTATTTCCTGTAACCAAGAGATCTCCACTACACTGGAAAAGGCAGTGCTGTTACATTAAACACAGTCAGGGGTTTCATAATCCAATGTTTTTGGTTAGAGTTATTCTTCCTAAACTCCCCCCCACAAAGGATGGGGGGTGGGGGTTGATGTCGGTGGAATTAAAAAGGTATTTTAGTTATATTTGCTCCATCACTCACCCCGCCTGCATGGCTGAGTGTATTGGAAAGCTATTGCTCATGCGCAGCAAAACATAGTGCCAATCAGCATCTCCTCAGAGATGCACTGAATCAATGCATGTTTATGGGGAGTGTTCAGTATCTCTATGTGCTGCACACAGTGCACTGATTTCGAAAGCGCCTCTAGTCACTGAGTGACTGCAGCTAGATGTGTTACTAGACAGCCAGCAAATAAACACTGCCTTTTCTATTAAAAAGTAGTTAACACTGCGGAGTGCCACCAGAACCACTACATTAAGCAGTCCTTTTAAATAAGGGTCTTGTTTAACTATTGTACAATGATGCGGAATATGTTGGCACTATATTAAATTTAATTGTAGAATTAGAATTGAAGCAGCACTGTCACAAAGGAGCCTCCCCCCAACGCAAATCATTAAATTTATAAAGATAGAGTCTTTGCGAGATACTTCTATTGACTATTGTAAATCCACTGAAATTTCAATTCAGTCAAGAGGTATACTGTGACAATGTAGAGACTACTATATTCCTGTTTATTTGCTACACCATAAAAGTCTAGATAGTGGATAGAGCAGAAGCATAAACCGTTGCCATGGTAACCATATACTAAAACCCAACCTAGAAACATTTCCCTCTGTTAGTAATATGCTACAGAAATCAAATCACACTTTCAATAAACAAACAAAAAAATATATATCATTTTAATACAGGATAAAAACTGGAAACAATACGACACATACAGGAAAAACACAAGAGCTGCCTATGTAAAACAAAATAAATCATTGTGCCTATAATACTCGTGCCGAGGGAATAATAAAATAAATGTGTAAAAAAAAAACAAAAAAAAAAACAAAAAACACACAACCTAGGCTTTTGCTTTCATTCTAAGCCTATAAATATAATAAATTACAATAAACGCCATTTTCTACAACTTTGCAACAGAAAGCCATCTGCCCAGCCCCCTGCTTTTCTCTTTCCCGCCCAAAAGCCAACATACTATTCACAAAAGTAGCGGCGTATATATAGTTAAAGTATATGCTAGCGCATTGGGTGACTTACGCATGTTACGTGCAAAAAGCAATACGCAAACAGTTGTTTTTTTTTTCTTCTTAACAAAGTTACGCCATTTACGTTCGGTCGCACAACGGCTGCAGTATTACGTAAACTTCGTAGCAAGGGAAATTCCTAAACGCCAACTACGCGCTGCAACGGACGTAACGGATGTAATGAACCTAGCAGTACGCAACCGGCGCAGCACGTCTCAACTCTGGCCTGAAGCCGAGTAAAATCGCGGCTACAACACATCTCACAGCAGCTCTGACCGTGCTAGTAATAGAGAAATAAAAGATGGCTTTACCGCTAGCTCTTGTTTCCGCTTCACTAGCTCGGCCAGCTCTCTGCGTGTGTCGGGGATCTGTGGTGGAGTGGCCTTGTTATGCATCGCCATGATGGAATGAGGAGGAGGGGTGAGGAGAAAGGGGGAGGAGAGATATAGAGAGGAATAAATAAGCCTGGCCCACTTATGGAGTCTCCCTCACTCAGTGTGTGCTGAGCTCAGCCTGGGAGCTCATGCGAGGGAGACGGTCTAGTTACACACACTCGATGAGGACACTGGGAAATGTCAGTTTATTTCATCAAAGAGAATTTCAAATGTAAAAATGCTCCCAATCAGCTTTTTATTTTCAACTATTTTGGCCTTAAACATAAAAGCCATATTATACAGGGTTTTTCATTTTCCAAGGAATCTCAGCCACTTCCACTGCATTTAGCAATTCTTTCACTATGGGTCCACTCTGAATTTATGGCTCCTTTTCCAGCAAGGAATACTTTTTTTTCTTTTTCTTTCCTGTAATGCCCCAATGACATGCAGAGCCATTGTGGCTTACATAGTTACATAGGCTGAAAAGAAACACTAGTCCATCAAGTTCAGCCTTTCTCACATCAGTTTTGCTGTTGAACCATAAAACGGCAAAATAACACAGTTTGAAGCACTTTCAACTTTGCAACAAACTAGGAATAAAATTGTTCTTGACCCCATATAGGCAGTCATAGTTAGCCTTGGATTAAGAAGCTATTACCCCACAAATTCAAAATTATACCCCTGGATGTTCTGTTTTTGTTAGTATGCATCCAGTTGCTGTTTAAACATCTGTACAGACTCTGATAAAACCACTACTTCAGGCAGAGCATTCCACATTTTGTAGCGGAGCTCCCTGTACCCCGGCTGGGTACCTCCACCAAGGACGGCTTACTAGCTGGAACCAGGGGAAAACCTCAGCGCTTCTTCCTCAGTCGCCGTGGCTTGACTGGGGTCCTCCTGGAGCCTCTCTGTCCTTGAACAGGATAGGGGACTAGCTCTATTCACTCCCAGGGACTGGACTGCACACTGTCCTGGGAGCTCTAGTCCTTACAAGGACTTTCCCCGCCGAATTCTCCTCAAGCTGGAACAAGGTACTAAGCAGTGATTATAGCACTTCCTCTCCCAGTAACTAGATGACACATAGTTCTGGAAGTACAACTGATTTTAATGAGCCAAACTGAGCCTTTGATGCACAAACCCCAGCATTGTATTCAACAAAAGCCCCTCCCCGGAATCTCTGGGCCTGGGCGATAATTGCGTTAAAGACCATTACACAAATTATCTCCCAGGAACAGAGAGCCAAACACAAAAATATAAAAACATAAAAGTACCCCAAAACATAATAAAAACATAAAATTACCCCACAAATAATACATCCCCAAATAGTCCTGATCTGAGCGCCCAAGTTCTTCAAATAGCACTAAGATCCATGCAATGTAGGGGAAACGCCACCATGTTAAAGTTCTGACCGGCCGCACACGTGATCCTAGGCCCAAAATGGTTCTAGGGCATTGGTGATTTTGCTGCTCAACTTTTGGGAGCTCCTGCAGCCGCAATACGGGATGCTTCGCCTAATTAGAGTTTGTTCCTCTTAGTCTCAGACACCTTCCCTTCAAAAAGCACTCTCCTAGCAGATTTCAAAGTGGTTCAAAACTGCTAACCAAGTTGTCTGGGAAGCGCACAGCAGAGTGTTCTTTTTAGCGTATACTTCCGTCTTCATCCTCCAGACATACCACTAATCCATTGGGCTGAAAAGTTCCAGTTTTGTTTCATTGCTTCACAGAACAATCCGAACAAATCCATGGCTTATTCATATAATTTTGAAAATATTGGAGCCAGCTTTTTCTTGTGCTTTTGGGCCAGTAGTGGTGTATGTCTTGGAGTTCTGGAATGGAAACTGTGACAAACGCTCCTTCCCATGTATGTTTGCCACGGACTCCTGGAGGAGTGTGGAAGCCGGTCTTTTGCCCACCGTCTATGGTCCAGGTCTGGGACACCATTTGGGAGTTACCCTGCAAAGCCGCCATTAGTAGCTTGCCCTGGGTGCCCCTGGTTCGGCACTTTCCCTTCAAACAAATGGAACCGAACACTAGCTCTATGGTGGCCGTTCGCATGAACCAAATGAATAGTCGGCAGCGGTACGTAGCCGCGACGGCCATGGAACTAATTTCGACATGAGGAATTCATGGGTTCCTGGTCGCCTCAGCAGGACTTGGCCGCAAATGTTATAGAACTGTTTTCGGCATGAAGTGACCGTGCGGTTCCCGGACAATTTGGTTCACAGTTTTCAACCACTTACCAGTCTTTAATGCAACTATCTCCCAGGCCCAGAGATTCCTGGGAGGGGCTGGGGTTTGTGGAAAAAAAAAGGCAGAGTTTGGCTCATTAAAATCAGTTGTACTCCCACAGCTATGTGTCATCTAGTTACTGGGAGGGGAAAGGGCACCTGAGATATCAAGCTTGCTGTGGACTAGGTTTTCGTGTATGCCACCCGTTTGAGCCAGTGGCGTAGGCTCGGTGGTGGCCCTATCATGCAGGAGTTCAACACTCTCCATTGTCTTGCCTATATTGTACATCATCTGTCTGGCAGTTCTGTTATCTTACAAGCGAACAGATAAGTGGGTTCTCCACTTGGGTAGCTTACATGAGCATGGCTGTCGACCCTCCGGGTGGGTTCATGTGTTGGATGTTGGTGGCATGGTGCTCCTCTCCTCAGTCCATCTTTCCCATGCTATCCTCCATATTTTAGACTGTTGGTTTGCTGCGATCCTTGCCGCGCATTCGGAGGTTTTGTTGTGGTTCACCAAGTGGATACATTCTTGTATTGTTGGGGGTTCACTGGTGCGCCACTTTCTGCTTATAAGTTTAAGTGCTGCTATATTTATTTGGTAGGAGAGGTACACCTTCGCTTTTGCTAGTTTGGGGGGGTAGTTTTGTAATATAAAGGTCTCCGGGGTGAATGGTATCTTAAGCCCGGTCACTGAAGCTATCAGTCTCGCCACCTCTTGCCAGTATTTTGCTAATTTGGGGCAGCCCCACCAGATGTGGAGCATGTCCCCTATACCATTTTGGCATCTCCAACATTGGTTGTGTACCTCTGGGTTCATGCGGTGTAAGCGTTTTGGTACTAAGTACCGTCGATATAGAAGTTTTGTTGAGAGTTCTATATGGGAGGAGCATAAGGTTAATTTTTTGTGGGTGGCGAAAAGCCGTTCCCATGTTTTGTCAGGGAGTTTAGACTTAGCTCGCGCTCCCAAGCTTGTACAAATGGTAGTTTTTTAATATTTGGTTCTTTAATTAAACTGGCGTATAGCAGTGAAATTGTTTTCCTGGCTGGTTCTTGCATTGTCATGACCCGTTCGAAGTTCGTCAGCCGTTGGTCATGTACATTTTTCATTACAGGTATATAATGTTTGAGTAACCAAGTCCTCATCTGGAAATAGGAAAACTCAGCTGTGTTTGTCAATTTATGATCTTTTTGCAATTGTGGGAAAGGTATGACTATCTGCCCCTGTAGTAGTTGTGAGATGTGTTTGATATGGTGTCGTTCCCATACTCGAACGTTAAAATCTGAGATCAACAGTTGTAGTGTGGCAATCGTCATTGCTGGGCAGTAGGCTTTTGTTCTGCATAGAGTGGCCCTATGGGCCTCCCATATCTGTTTTGTTAGGGTTGTGGTGGGTAGCATCTTTATGCTTTTGGGTCTGAGGGTGGGCGGGATCAACATAATCGAGAGGAAGTGGTGCCCAGTAATTATGTCAGATTCCAGGGCCACCCACTAAAGGGGTTAGTCCTGGGTTTGTGCCATGATGATGGGGTTAATGTTACCTGCTTGGTTATAGTGTCGTAGGTTGGAAAGGCTCATGCCTCCTCTTGTGTGATGTCTGTACATCGTGGTATTGACCACCTGAGGTTTTCTGTGTGCCCAAATAAATTGGTTCAATAGTGTTTGGTTATCTTTAAAGTAGGATGCTGGTATTCTAATAGGGAGGGTTCTGAATAGATACTGATATTTAGGGAGTATCACCATTTTCACTGCGGCCACTCGGCCTGTCCAGGAGATAATTTTTTTGTGACAAGCTTGGAAGAGTGATTTCACTTGATTCGGTAAAGTTACAAAGTTTGCTTTAAAGAGGTGGGTTACTGAGGCCGTTAATTTGATACCTAAGAAGGTGAGGTTGTCCAATCTCCAATTGTATTGGAACCTAGATTTCAAGTATGTTATCTCATCACTAGGGAGATGTAGACTCATGGCTTGTGTTTTGGTTACATCTAACTTATAGTAGGAGCATCTACTGTAGGCCTCTAGTGTGGTTGTAAACGCTTGAAAAGAGGTTTTGGGATTAGATAGTGTGAGGAGAATGTCATCATCGTCGAACAGTGTAAGTTTGTATTCTCTCTGGTGCATTCTTATTCCTTGTATATGCGGGTGGGTACGGATCATTGTGGTGAGGGGTTCTAGTGCTAGGATGTAGAGGAGGGGGACAGTGGGCACCCCTGGCTTGATCCATTTGATATGATATGATAAGTGGTTTAGAAATGAACCTGCCTGTGGTGACTCTTGCTGACGGGTTGCTGTATAGCGCTGTCACAGCTGCTATGAATGCAGCTGCTATTTATTGGGTACTGCGGCCTAGCCGACGTTTCCCTCTGGATGTCTGTTGGGGCTCAGGAGGAATTTAGCAGGGTTATGGCAAGGCATCATTCTTGCCGGTAAGGCCTTGAGCTAGGGTTTTTTGCTATGTTGGAGGGTGTATGGGGTTCTGCCTGTTTCAGTCCCCTTAGGTTCTCCGTGGATTTAACCCGCACTCTCCCTTACCTCTAATCGCATATAGATATATTACGTGTGGCTAAGCAATGGGTGATGGGGGAATCGGGTGCGTGATTGGGGGGGGCATAATATCATATATACATTTTAACAGCAATTGGTATTGCAGGTAAGTAGCTCAGGATTTACACAATCGGTGCAAAGTCCCTTCTTCTGCGGAGTGTCGCCGCCAAGAGGCCAGTGAAAAGTTTTATATTTGGGTAGTCATCTGGCGGTTTTGCTCTGTTTCTGCTGGCCCTTAGGATGTGTTCTTTAATGTGATAGTAGTGAGCCTGTGTTAG